ATGTAAACAGGAAGCTCGCACAATGCGGGAGTCAATGAAGTTAGTATTAGCGCCACCAGCTGGACCGAGCGTTGTACTACAGCACAGTTACTCAGGCACAGTTGAAAGAACAAGCATGAAAACCCGAGGAGGCTTTTGGAAAATACTGTCTGTTACAACATTTCTATTTTGAGTAATCAGTTTTAAAAATGTGATATTTCATGTAAATAATGCATGTGTTTAATAGGATTGATATATTTGCGATGGGCCTTGTTTGTGTGATTTAAGTTATTTTGAAGGTGCATAGTGTCATTGTAAGTGAAGTTATTATAAAACTGTTAAGCTACATTTTCACTGTTTACAATGGCAGAGCCAATGGCAGGCTTAATTCCTGTTACACTGAAGCTCACCGCACACCGAAACGCAGCGCCTCGCGGCGCGTCATTTGACGCGCGTTCATGACATGTGTCAAATTACACCGGAACGCCTTGGCTAGTGTCCTTTTCCAGCTGATCGCAGATGAAATGGGTGAGTGACGTTTGGAAGTTTCTACTAATATTTTGGGGGAGGAAACAAAGTATTTACGTGAAATTATGCTGGCAAATATTACAAGAAAAGACTATTTGGACCCATTTTTTAAACAGGCTAATAACTAGCTCTGGGTAACGCTGTACTTGGGTTATCAAGCTTTCCTCGTCCATTGTGACCGGTTTACTTGAGCAATAGCGCCGACAAGTGTGTAAATTTGAGACCGCGCTCACAGCTACGTGATAAGAAGCGCAGAAGAAGAAAACTACGGGTGCTTGGAGGGACAGTTTCAGCCGCGGCGCCGCGTCTGGATTCAACAAAACTGAATCGTGGCGCCCGGTCCAGCGTCGCCGCGCGTCACTGCAACCTTGGTGTGCGTTCTCTCATAGAAAATAAAGGAGGCGGCTCTTTTGCCGCGCGTCAAGGCGTTTCGGTGTGCGTTGGGCTTTATGCTCCATGGGGATTTAGATTGAACTGCATAAAGGACAATCTATTTCTTTGTCAGTTGTAGTTTGTTTTTAAATAGAAAAAAATAAATCGATTAAAATCGAAAATCGGATTTGCTGTGAAAAAATCGGAGATTTTTTTTTTTTGCCATATCGCCCAGCCCTATCCAAAACGTATTCCTCTAACAATCTTTTTTGGCAGAACAAAAAGTGACTCACCAAAGAGTCAAAATAAACTTCTGAATATGGTGCTTCTGTTCTGTGCCCAGTGTGACGTCAAACTGACCGGTTAAGAAACAAGAGCCAGAGAGATGGTCTCCTGTGAGCATCTCCTGTCTGACCTGTCCACTGCTGCGACGCAAGACAGACCAGGTGTGCGCCCACATAACAAACACCTATTACGTCTGAATTAACACAATTTTACCATCAAATACAATTACAGAGGTCACAGACAGAATTAATCCATGCACCTCCACCGTTACCATTTCCAGAACATTACTTTTAACTGTCATCACTGGACATTAGGTACTAAAACAAGTGAAGAGCAGAACAAAGCACAACAGTGACAGTAACATTTAGCACCTTCATCAACGGACAGAATAAAATGTGCACACATTTTAGGAGTAGCCTCTGGGGTTATTTTTAGCTCAGACATATTCAGTGGATGGACAACTCATTTATTTATTTCAGCTGCAGTGGAAAAATAACCTTGCTCACTTATTTCAATTTCTAGGAGAAATATCCATCTTCAAAGGTGGGTGCTTCACATAGAGACATGGATGAACTCCCAACTGCAGCTAAAGCTTGTATAGAACTAGTTAGATACGACAGTAGTCTTTTTATTTTTCTATCCTCCTGCAAATATTTCCCAACGCTCATATGGAAAGATGTTGTTTTTTAATCTATTTTTTTATTTGACATTTTCAATAGATATATATTCTATCTGGCGATTTTATACATTTTTTAAATTGTCTTTAATCTTTTAAATATTACATATTTCTGACCATGGGACACTGTACTAATATGTACAGAGAATATTTTTCTACAGTAATACATCTGAAATAGTCCCTTCCTTTACAGGAGTTAATCCAATGATGAGGGGCCTCAAGGATTTGAATGAATTTTGACCAATGTGAAGCTGTGGGGGTGAGCATGGGCACACTAATGCTTGTTTCAAAAACTTCACAGCCATTTAAAACCACATGCACATTTGCTGCTGGAGCACTAAATATTTTTGTCATGGTTGGATTCTCCAACCTTTAACAAAGATTGAAGAATTACTTTCAGCATTAAACTTTACACCAGACCTGAAACAATGACTTGACATCATCATCATATAACCGACAACAGCAAAAAGTTGCAAATTAAAGCAAAAAATAACGTGCAAAAAATGATATCATGATATGGGAAGGGAATATCATGAAAACGGTATAATTCCCAATAAAAGTAGCGCTGGTAGAAATCTTCAAATCTGCACAACTATACTAAATAACTAGATTAGTTATACACCAGATTAAATGCATCTGGCTACAGCCCTGTCGTTCTGCGTGCAGTGATCTGGTGACTTTTGACTTTTGTTTGCTTTAAACATCATTAAAGTTCTCTTTTTTTTATTGCTTCCTTTTAGTGAGAGAGGTATCTTTCTATTTCGTTCTCAAGAGGCAGCAAAACTGTTCAGTACACATCAATGACGCAGCATGAGCTGGAGAAGCCCGCCTCCAGGAGGTGATTGACAGGTGAGAAATCAAAACAGCGAATCAGCGCGCACAGCATGTCCCGAGTCTTCCACAGTCTGTGTTACTGTTTTTGCTGACTAAAAGTGTTGGCATCATGTCAACTTGGAGAAAATTTGTTTTTGGGTGTACTGTAAATACTGTATTTGGCCCCGAAGACAAAGAATGTGGCTCGAAATCCGAAACAAATCGGTTTGGTTAAGTTACTCTTAATTCTTTTTCCCACAATTAAAGATGCTAACGAGTAATCTGTAATTACTATGAAACTAACTGGCCGTATTATTAACTAAATAATTAGGGTCCGATTCTGGTTCGAGGACATAGGGCTATATGTGATGGATTGCCATTGATAGAAAAAGTTTATTCTAAGGTCTGAAATTTCACGTTGACTTCCCTCACCCTGCGGATGGGGGGGGGGGTCTCACAGGGGGAGGAGCAGAGATCAGCTAGTTTCAATTGAGGTGACATCACACCTCTGGGCAAGAAATTGCTATAAATTTTTAAGTGTTGTTTGCACATATGATTAGGATGGTCAACGTACACAATTTCAGATAGGACCATTACGGTGACTAAACACCAAGCACGAGTCATTTGAAGCAGAAAGGTAGGGTACCACAGGGGCAAAGCCTACTCTGCCAAGTACTTGCTGCACTTGCGATGTGTAGAGGCTGTGAGAAGAAAGCTCTTTGCTGAGTTCCTCTGCCACAGCTGTGATTGCAGCCACTGTTTCTCCACACGCTCAGACCAAAGGTAAACATCACCAGTGCATCCACACAAAATCTATCGCGGTATTTCAGTTTCCTACGGTACCGTCACTCCAAATTACATTATTACCGCAAACAGTATCATAATATCCAACCCTAATAGATGCAGCCAAAATGAGTTGTTTGTCTACATAGAGTACAAGTCTTCAGAGGCTGGAGAAAGGTTTTCAAGTCATGAACATGATTGTATACATTAAGAGTGCTGTATAGCTTTCTGTACGGCGACAAGAGCAGTGAACGGCATTTTATTGCTGGGTGAGCTCATGCTGTTCCCAAGAAAGACAAATCATTTTTATGAAAGTCCAGTGACCTCACAAATGTGCTGTTGCATTAATCCACTGCCTTGCTTGTAATCGCAGTAGTGACATGACTTTATAGCCTGCGGGTCACTATATGACATCCCATATTTTGCAGCTTAAGTAACGTGTGTTAATAGTCACTAGTTTGAAAAATGCTTGACTTTTTAGAGGAAAACCATATTGGTGTTTGACACTTTGTCTGGGCTTTAAGAGACTAGTATGTGCCGTTTATTGATCTTCACCTGTAGCCTAAAAGGACTCTGCCCAAAGGCAATGCAGACAGACCTGAGGAAAAGGCATTATGATTTGTCTGGGCTACTTATCGAGTTTAGATAGAAATCCTTGACAGTAACACATTTATAATATGACATATGCTTTTATATAGAGAGATATAAATCTAGTGTGACAAACCACACCTCCACCCTGCTATCCACAACTCTGACTGGGTACCTCCATCACAGATGCAGGGGACAGTAACCTTTATCATGCCCACTTTTTATTGTTTCTTTGATCACACTTTGAAGTAACTATTCTGGAAGGGACTTACATTCATTGATTTGTTGAATAACACTATAACACTAAGCCTTTGCACTTTTTATGGCTACATGTTGCAATGATAAAATGGATAGACACCATGAACAAAGAAGATTGTCACCTAAATCCCAGCAGGACTGAGGAAACCTCTGAGTCACTTAAGACTAAAGCAATCAAAGACACATTATCTGATAAAGTCATTACGTAATCCAGGGTTCTTCTGAGTGAATGAGGTGTTGTGTCTACCCCAAATATGTGTAGATGGAGTAGGAGGGGTGTTGCCAAATCATTTGTATTTTTAATGTGCCAAACATTTATCCCAGAAAAATGGACTTGAGACAGAGCCTATATCTCATGCAGCCCCAGATTCAATTGATGCTATAAATAGCAACTCACTGAAGTTTAAGTCTTTATTATCATGACCTTCAAGTTATAAAATAATCAAAACATCAATAGTTACATGCTGACACCTAAATGTTTATGAAAATTGCATTTTATAATTCTGAAACGCCTTGGTATAAAAGGAATACGATCTAGAAAATATTCGGCAACATCCAAAAAGGCACAGACTAATGATGAGGTCCAGAGGGATGCGCGGTGATCCTCTCAGTGAGGCTGGAGCACATGGTTCAGCTAAAGGATAACTATGTTTAAAAGCTTTGTCCGGGGCCACATTCCCGCAGATCTACCTGTTAACATGTCGTGAATGCCGCGTACCTTTGCCTCGCGTCTCCTTGGACATAGTGGCTGCTCCGCTGTGCGCTGTCTCTCTGGACACACTTCTTTCACAAGCCGTCACGTCTTTTGTTTAGTCGAACATGAAACCAAAAGGCTGCTTCATGCTTTCTTCCAGCCCTCTGCACCTTGTCGTTCGCAGGACTGAAGCGCACTGCTGTGGGATGCACCGATCCACGGGAGCGGGAGCTGACGTCTCCTCTCCTACCGCGGGAACACCAATCGCGGGAAACAGAGGAAATTGTGAAAACGCTGCTGTTTCATTCACCTGGACCTGATCCCGAGAGCCTGTGCCGCTGTGCCGCAGACATAGTTGTGCATGTGTTGTCTCTGTGCAGACTTGGCTTACATGGCATGCCCAGCCCACCCACCTCTGCATCTGCCTCTGACCGTGGCGTTTATTAGAGTTTTCAAAACAAGAGCCTCCTCTGCAGCGCCACAGCCTCCAGCCTGTCTGCACCACACCGCACCGAGAGACAGTGGACCTCAGTCACACTGTCACCACACGATCATGTGCTCATGGGGCCATTTTATTACCCCAGGACACAAACTCTGAGCTGCCCCTGTCCACAACACACGTGGGGCGCAGCAGGTGTCACCTTGTCATTGGCCATAAAAGGAGAAATGATATCATCGACACAGTGGATTTGCTCTACTTTATAGTCAAATATTTCACTCGTTAGTAAATGCCCCATATTGCTTTTTTGTGTGTCTTTTTCCCCCTCAAGAGAAAAGTTATTAACAAATACGAGACGTGGGGAATAACTCTCTTTATGCACATAATCCAATATGAAAAGATGCCAATAAGTATATGTTCTCCCAAAATACACTGTTTAATGAGGTTTCACAGAATAAGCTATAGCATTTGTCACAATATTTGCACTCTGAAGCATTATTTATTCACATGCACATATTCCCAGCCCTGAGCTATTAAACAGCTACACTACTAGTAGGCATCACCAGGATTAATATAGTACTTAAAGTGAGGAATTGTTTTTGTTATGTGTCTGAGGAAGTGAACTGTGGGTGGAAAACTTGGGTCAGTGATAACAAACAAAGCTCCATATTAATAGAACATTTTAATATGCATTGATCCCAAACAAAACACTTGGCCTACGCACTCAAATTACATAAGGTATTATATTAGGATAGTGTTCAGGTTCGCACATTTAGTCGATTCTGAGTTGGAGTTGCAAATGCTGGTCCATGTTATTGCACATACTGTTTCCAGATGCCCACGCAAACCCCTCCTGAGAAAAATAGGCAATGTGAGCTAATTCATGCAGCCAGTGTACTCCCCTGTCAGAGCATCCTCCCCACAGCTCCTGGGCTTTTCTCACCGTTCTGCTGCCTTTCATCTTCTGCTCCAGGGACGGAAGTTGGCACAACTAGTCCATGTTGTGTATATAGTCCTTGTAGTGCATGTAGTTCTTGTAATCTATATAGTTAATGGTGTATGGCACTATTTACTTCCTGATATATCCTGATTTATATGTGATATATCCTGATAATAAACCATAAGGAAATTATTGTATTGCATAATTGTTTTGTATTACTTTGGAAGTTCGCTGCTACTGTTTAGTGTCTCGCCAATGAGCAGGAGTGCAAGTACAGTTCAGTACAGTAAGCTGCTGCAGTGAATATTTTGCCGCAAATATCAAACAACTCTATCATAAGTCTTTTTTTAACACCCCTTATAAACATTGTGTCATCAAAAATCTAAATCACAATGTATGGTTTATTTCTGTACCTGGTCATCTTTGCAATAAAAATAAATATTATTGATTATGAAAAATCCAAAGCCAAAACTTGCAAAAAAGCATTCTTGGGACATTAAGTAGAAAAAAGAGAAAAAAAGGAATGAACACAATCATGATTTTAGTCAGTCCTGTAATGCAGGGATTGATGCTAGTAATTTATTTTCAAATGAGAACATGAAAATCGAAGCAGAGTAATCCCCAGAGGTATTTATACAAAGTGGAAAAGGGAATGCAATCATCTTATAATCCGTAATAATGTTTTAATGGGCCCTCACAGCTCACAAAACATAGCACATTACTGTTAAATCACCAAGTACAGGTAGCGAGGGTGACTAATGCGTCCTGGGTGATGTTAGCTTCAAATTAACATCTAAAAACAACCTATTTCCCACAAAAACATAAAAATACAGAGATTGGTGCATACAATTATTCATAATACTGCTGGAAAAATAAAAGTCTTTAAAAACCAATGAACCATCATGATGTCGTTGCCTGAGCTGAAGGGGACTGTACAGGCTGAAGAAACTCGGACGTGAAGACGGCCTCAGCGTACTCCTCGACCACATCTTGAAACTCCGCCGCCACATCCGCCAACGCCTCCGCCAACAGCTCTTCTGCCAGACTGGGGACAAAAGGCACAGTGTGACTATTTTCACAATGACACCGGGTCAAAACTACTTCCTGGGAAATACACAAGTTTAGTGCAAATCCATCAATTCAGAACATTGTGACACGGTGTCAAACTGATTTATCCTCAGGGCATAAAAATGACAATAGCGATCCATCTATTATGCAGATTTTTGTGACATTTGATCAGAGGTGGTCCCATTGAAGAGCGCTTTAAAAGAAAACAAGGATGAGTGACATTTCAAGTATAAAGAAAAGGAAAATATTAGTGATAATTTTATAGCTTCCATCATATTGTGGTATGTATTGCAGTATACACAGTTAGTATACCATCACAATATTTGTTTTCTTTACTTGTGCTCTGCAGTTACTTATTAATTCTCTCAGCAAATCCTATGCAGAACCAGAAAACCAGCGAGAGAGATTACACAAACCATAAACTCTCCGTGGCACCTCCGGGAGTATTGTAATGAGTTGGTAATTGCGGTGGCTGTGAAAGGGCGTTAGAATATGGATATTGAATTAAAGCATGGCAGCAATAAAAACAAAAATCAATGTGACAAAGGCTGAGGAAACGCTGCCTCTGCAATCACCTGTCTGCAATGACCCAAGGCGTGATTCCCCCGGTGCTCTTCTGACCCGCAGATTCCCGGTAAGCCTCGTAGTCTCGCCGATATTGCTGTATGTTCCTCAGAGTGCGGCTCGGCACGGAGAGAACCGCACCTTTGCCTCTTTGCGCCGTGGCTGGGAAAGCTGTGCTGCTCGTGACCTGGGAACCTTCCTCCACCGTCGACCTGGTCTCGAAGAAGACTCTGAACAAGGAGAGGAATAAGGAAACGCAATGAGAAAGCGAGATCTTTTCATTTTCACAATCTACTCTATTCTCTCTGCTTGAATCATCTGTTCAGGTCAGACGCTGTGGAGAGGAAACAAGAGCACACATTGAAAAGACAATACGCTCTTGCTGAGCTCAATACAAAACCCAGGATGGTGATTTTTAGGAGAGGTGTCAGAGTGTAAGCAGTGAATAGGGGCTCAGCTGGGCATCGCCGTGGTCTGGTTTTATAATCCTCACTGTTTGGACAAATCAGACTTCCAGGGTGACGCCACTCCGAGAGCTAAATTTAGTGCCACAGCAGTTTCCCAAAGCAAAGTGCCGCTTCATTGTGCTCCTGGGCCTCAACTGAACTTGCTTCTGTTTTGATTGTAAAGGCTACACACCATGGGGCCGCCATAAATTTGAAAGTGCCAGCACAGGCGACTCTGCTGCTAGTGCAAAATAGGTCAATTTACAGTTGAGTGGCCATGTGAGAACTGATGTGTCCAGAAGCACAATACAGCCAAGAGCAAATTCAATTCAAATTTTTGGTGTGCTTCAGCAGAACACAGATTTTTTTTACGCAGAAAAGGTTTACAGCCTTATCTAGAATGCCATGAACCGTCTCATATATCAATGGAGAGCTTCATTGAAAACAAATGCAGAATAGATATTGATTAATGTTGTTGCAAACATTAGGCTCAAATGCTTCTTGTTTTGGTTTGTAATCTTTTGAATTAACTAGAGTTTGTAATGCATTATAATAGAGGGAGGAAAACACATCAAATAATTACAAAACAGTCGAGCAAGTCTTTCATCTTCTCACGAGTTTATCTGACCTGCTGTGAAAGTCACTGAACAATATTCAACATCCTTATCTCCTCACCATGGAGACATACGTGTTATCTGCAGCTTTGTTTGGAAGATACAATCTTGCATTGTCAAAGAGCCCATTTTATTACCACAAACATGAACAGGCTGCCAACAGTGACGGCCTACGTTTCATGCAGACATAATTTGGGAAGAATGTAATAACTTACTATTCTGTAAAACGCATTAATGATCCTAATGTTTCATTTGTTTCTAGAAAGAAGCGTCCGAATCCAGCAAAATTGTGAAAAAGTGTTTCTCTCCACTGCTGAAGCCTCCAGCGTGTTTGTTTGCGTGTGATGAGGCCATTATAAACAAGCCGTCAGCACATGTGAAGAGAACCACATGCTGCTGCAGCTGAAATAACATTCTTTTATTCCACACGCGTGTGTTCTGCTGCCATGAATAAAATCGCACACATCCACATCTTTCCTGTGACAAAAGCTTTTCAATCATCCGCTCTGAAGCTGAATTGATTGTTCAGGCGCATATTGATGGATTACAATATGGGAGAAGCTACATTTTAGCACCTGCCTTCCAAAACTCATTACTTTTAAAACTTTAATTCCAAATTAGTGTTTTAAATTATTATACGCATGTTACTATTTCCATTGTTGGGTTGTTCCAGGGTATTCCATCAGTAGAATCATTTGTGGAACAAACTGAACATATGAAAGTAATCAAAATAATTGTAACACTAATTGCATAATGTGCCTTTATACTAAAATGACATTTTAACATGGAAATAAACAGTGTTTCAGGAGAATGACTTTTCTGTCAGAGGCACTCCATTCCAACTGATTTCATGCGTAGGAAGATTTCCTTCACACGCCGCAAACAAAACAATTTAATAGGATTCTGTCAGTCTCAGTCTGGGGGAACAATGCACCTCCCCCATTCTGAAGGTGATTGACAGCCCAGTGATGATCGGTCACTACTGCAAAAAGTCGAGACAGATCTGATATAGAGATAATGCCATATCATCAAATATATTCAATTCCATTTCAGTTACGGAAATTAAGCATTTGGAGACAGTATTATGAATCCAATTGAATAATCAGTTTGCGTTATTTAGAATGGTTGATTACACAGACTAGAAAAAAATCTCAAATAGCTCCTTTGTCTCTTATCATTGCCCTGCAGTTGTATTTTCCCCTCCTCGTCTCACTGATTCAGTGCAGCAGCTGTTTCCAGTGTCTGAATAAGCTCTGTACCAGGTAATAAAACTAAAAGGAGGAAACAAAAAACACCAACAATTCAAGGAGTTGTGGCATGTACCCAGTCTCCAAAGGTTTTTCCAGGATTATATCGACGGTGGGAGTCTGCCTCAGCACTGGTTGGGTGAGTCTAATTGGTTGAGGAGAAGATGGCCTGGAAGCAAGACCTTTGCCTGAAAGAGCAAAGAGCAAGAAAATGTGTGAGTATGATGACAGCAATGCGACAGGTCAACAAGCATTGAAAAGGAAAATTATGTAAAAAATGACATTTGAAGCGCTCATCCCAAAACATTGACATTTAAACTAGATACCTGTGCCTTGTGGTTTGTCCCAGTTAAGAGGATCTGAATATATAATAGATGTAACTCGTCTTCTCACTTCATCCTGGTCCCTCTGCTCGAACACATCAAAACACATCACGCATCAACAGTGTCTGACATCAAAACAACAACGATCGCTTCTGCGTTAGGAACTAGATTCTATAAATAACTAGAGAATGACCTTTCTTGGTCAAAGAGACTTTTCTGTGGTGGGTGGTTCAAACCGGAGCCTCACCTGGATTTCCTCCATTCGAACAAGCATGTTCTCCAGAGTGTCCGTCTGCACGGTGCGCAGGGCCATGTCCTCCTCCTGCACCGCCCACGGGAGGGCCGTGTCCTCCAGGAGAGACGCACTCAGCGGCTCCACACTTTCTGAACACTGCGTTTTCACAAAACCTCATTCTCACATATATATCATATAACATCCTCAAAATACATGTACTTTGCTATACAGTTAAACATACCATATATTCTTCATCTAAAAGCAATATTTACATTCTTACCCCATGTGCAATGTGTTCCTTTAGTCTGTTGCTTGGAGGGGAAATACATCTAGAATCAACAAACTGCTGAAAAGAAAGGACAAAAGCCCAAAATAATTACACACTGCAATTTGTAAGGCCTTCAAAGATGAAAAAGAAAATGTAACAAACTTGTGGTTGCTCTAGAAAGGGCTGAATATTTTCATTTTCATTCTGTTCTCCTTCAGCCCTCTGAGTTGGTGATATCACTGCAGACCTACAACCACAATGCATCAATCAATCAATCAATCAATCTTTATTTATAGGCATGCATCTGTTACAACATGACTTAAAGATCATACACAAACATTCTGTATTTGTGAGATCTAGTTTAGTGTTTTTTTCAATTCATATTCTGTAATAATTAGGTGACCTTAATAACTGGAGGCGCTGCACTTCAAAGTCACTGATCTGCTGAAGCTCTTGGAGTCGCTGCGTTGTCATCTTATCCAACCAAACTCTCCTGCAGCAACAACAGTTGATAGAGTGACCATCCCAAAAACATACATGCCCAATTTTATTGTGTTATCTTTACATTATACAGTATAGGCCATTTGCATAAATATACACAGCAACAATTGTTATTACTAGTGGAATATGTTCTGCTTTTATACCTCAATGCTTCTTCCTGGGCTTGTTGTTTCCTTTCTAAGTTTAAAAAGGGCTCTGCTTTGGACAAGCCCCTGACTTTGACCGGGTTCCGAGGGCTTTTGTCAGGTGAAAAGAGACACCGGGGCTCTGGTCTTGCTTTTGGTTGAAGCATTCTGAATACACAAAAGCATAAAACACGTGTAATAAATTGTTCAGCCAAACTGGAACCTCAAAAAGAAAAACGGTTTCAAACTCTAATCATCTCACCGCTGCTGAGGAGGAGAGTGGGGCGACGCCGGTATCCAGGGCACAGATGGCTCTTTCTGAGGGAGCTGGTTTATTCTGAGTCGAGATGAAACCGTAGGCAGAAGGAAATTTGTATTGTCCGCCTGATTTTTCTAAAAGTAAATCATAGTAGAACATTTTTTATATATTAAGAAGAAGGTCCTATATTCGTCCCACAGTGAGGAAGTGTCAGTTTGATGAATACACATACACATCAAGGCATGCAGCAAACATTACTTCTGCGCTCCTTATAGGCAAAGTGTCTTGCCCAAGGACGCAACGACAGCAGACATCAATGGAGTGATGGGGTCGAACCCACGCCTTCCAGGTTCAAAGGCCAATGCTCAACCAACTGAGCCACCTTTATGACTTGTACTATGTATTTGTACTTTGTATTCAGATCATTAATTATGAACAACCTTTATCACAATAGAAAATGTTTTGAGTTTAGCTCATACTTTATTCTGAGTTGTGTTCCTCAGAGGTCCATCAACTTTGTGCCATTGCTCCCTCTGCTGGGCAAGTTTTTCTACACCGGCTCGCAGAACATCTCTCCTATGTGTCAGCACATATGATACAGCCTTGGGTTTTCTTGGAGCCTTTTTCTTTCCTGGGAGAATACAAAAAAATAAATAATTGCAACTTGCTATTTTTATTTATTGCAAAAACCTGATGACTTCAAATAAATTGAAATGTACACAGTAGGATGTTAGTTCAATGATTGCTCAGCCTATTACAGGGAACTGATCATCTGGGAGAAGGACATTGGTCTCTGGCGAAAGAAGGTAAATGTTAATGTGTGTTGATGTCAACGCTTCCATAGGGAGACTCCAGCTCAATGAAAAACCTGCAGGAGTTAAGTGACTAGAACAGCGGAGGGACACACTCTTCCCAGGCGACACCATCATTTCTATGTGGGTCCTTCTAATCTTTAGCATCAACACATACATTTCTAACAGTAGGAGACAAATGGTTTGGTTTTTACCCTTCACGCTTTTTGTCGTTTTTACAAATTTAGATGTTTGGTGAATATAATCATTGGCCCCTTGGCAGGCAGTTATTGATGCACTGTGATGAGACTCCCTGGGTGGAGGGCAAGCTTGAACTTGATTCTTTCTGAGCATGTTTTGTTTACTCAGGGCCGAATCTAAACTCTGACAAAGACAATAGTTTGGCATTAGAAACAACACGTTCATGTTTTGAAAACTCATTAATATTAATAATAATAATAACAATAATAAAAAGAGTATCACCTGCAGCTTTTGTAGAATGTCATGGGCAGACTGGGGCACTGGCGACTTTTCATTAAACTCCGCTTTAGTAGAGCACAGACACAGTTGGCGAAGAAGCTGGCCTAAATCTTTAAAATTAGGCCAATTTGTACAGTGAGTGGTATCTGAGAGTTGTTGTATGAAAGCATGCAGCGCTCGCAGGGCACCACGATGAGCTGCTGCAAGTCTCCGAAGCGATGTTGACTAAATGAATTCATGGAAGAATAAATAGAAGACATATAGTAACAATCACCTGACTGTATCAATGCGATTGTGAAATAACTATACCTTTGTTTTCTGAGGATGCCCCTTGTCTAAATGTTCTTGTATTTCTTTTACCTGTTTGTAAATCATAATGCATATGAATAGAAATGTAAAAATGAAGTTAAGATTCTAAATAATATTACATATACCTGATGCTGAAGAGCGTAGATAATACTTGCAGAACGAGCGGTTTGCTTCTGTTTGCGAATATCAAGCTTGCTTTGCTCCTCTTGCTCCAGTGGTTCAAGATCTGTCCTTTCTGCTCAAAATGAAGAAGACAAACATGATGACATGTGATGCATTATTAATTAACGTAATGGATGGCCAGACCCATACCTCTGCAAGCCAGCTCCTCTGCTCTCCTGATGCAAATTTCAAGCTCAAGTTGCAACTTGTGTATCTCGTTGACTAAATGATTGTGGTTTTCTAACACATGTTCTCTGGTTTGCAGTGACTGACGAACCGGTGGCCTATGTGTTGTTGTTGATTTATTAGATGTGTGGTCTATCAGTCTGCCTCTTGATTTAGCGTCTTTTTGACTAGAAGCCTTTAGCTTAACTTTACTTGGTGACACTCTAAACTCCTGAAAGAAGAGAACTATTAGTTCAATTTTTTTGAATGTAATATTTTAGAAACAGACGTTTAATCATATAATACCTTCAACAGTTCTACATCACTTTCGAGGAGTGAAGCTGTATGCATCTGTTTTAGGGGTGATTTGTTCAGTGAATCAAGTTGTCTTCGTCTCAAGTCCCTTTTGGCCAGTTTCACAGCTGCATTGAGCCTTTCCTCAGACAAAGCTGTGAAGCTGATGGAGCTTTTGCTATTGTCTTCAAGTGTGTGCTCCTCCGGAAAAGGCATTAGCTTCTCTATCACAATTGTAGTTGGTGGATCTACACGAGTGGCACGATTGCTGGTACATGCAGGGATGGCTTCATTGAATAATAACTGAAGGGACAATACAATCATAAGAATAGCTAAAAAAAACAAAATGCTTGATATTTGTATGTGTTTACAGCTAAGTGTGCTCTTCCATAGGCATACAGAATAAATGTAAAGTGAATAAATTTTAGTTTTTGTTGTTTAGTGGTAAAAGAGATTTTTTGTGTGTCATTGCTCAAATTTGACGAGAAATTTTATTGAGAACAAATGTTCTTAATCAAGAGCCATGTTTTGGATCGAATGTGCATGATTATGAAATGTGGCATGCAATGTAAAAAAAAAACTATGGAAAAATAACAGTTTCCATGTTTGCCTGGAATCATATTCCACGCAACACTATTAATGTAAACAGTAAAAATATATGTAATGTCCTTCTAAACAGACATCTATTTCTAAATTATTATTGTATAGGAACAAAATATCATAATGAGCTGGTAATTGCAATGATAAATTAGGTCCAGATTGATGGTGAGAGTGGATGCGTGTGAGTGTGTCTGACTGTGTCATTTCTGCGTCTTTATAATTTTGTTCGTTATTTTAGTAAAAATCATCATGTAATTTTGTTGTTGCACTTTTCTTCACTTCGGGAAGAATAGCTGTGAATAGCAGCTAATGGATATCAAAAATAAATACAATACAGTTGCGCTTGGAAGTGTGTTGTTTTGGACAACTTTGGAGATCAGGAATGATCTCTAATTCCCCACTCATTGTTAGCAGATGTGTGAAGGCATATATTTTCTAGTTTCAGATTATATTTTAGCAGCTCTGTGTAGAAGGTGCTGTTCACCCAAAGTGGCTCAGTAATGTACAGGAACTGGAGGCTTCCAGCAAAGAATTGACAACTTTACCATCAGAGAATAATGACCCTCATCCAAAAAAGACCAGATTCATAGATAAATGGGGCAATCATACTATTGAGAACTGGGGGGTATAAAGTTCAAATCAGGGACAGTGGAGTAGTTTCTGTTGGATTGCATGAAAACAGAAAACACCTTTATTTGACAATAAATTACTTCACACACCAACTAACAGTAAGTGAAAACATGTGTTTGCATTATCTGTCATAAATAATACATAAAAGCAATATCAAAATGTCTGCCTGGGGATTTAAACTTCCAAGCACAACCGTGTATTTGTATACATTGTAATATTTAACTAGTTAGTTAGTAGTGTAGCGTTTGTTCCCTGCGTTGGACAGGCTTTAAACTGTTCACTTACCTTTGATGGTGACAACTCTCTCGTACCGATATTATTACGGTTTGTATTTACAACAACCCATCCTTTTTGTTGACTTGTCATCGGACTACTTTGCAAGTATTCCGCCGTCATGATTATAAAAACATTTAAAGTTATATTAGCTAACCGAAAACATTTCCCGGGTTGACAGCACGCAAAGACTAACCGCTTGGTGTTGACGAGTAGCGTTAATTATGTTTTAGTGTGAGCTAATAACAACTTCATATAGTTGAATTTCTGATAAACACGTCCATATTTCTATTAGTATTTCTTATCCGCACTACAGCCACATGAGACCAGTGAAGATTTGTGAGTAAAAAATCTGCTATAACATGATTATCTTTATGATTATTGGTCTGATATGCACAGTTTGAAACGCCGCCATGACAACAACAGAGCGCCGCATAAGGAAGTAGATTTGTTGTACTACGGGTCCTCGAATGAATCAAACAAGGATGCAATAAAAACTCAATTATAGTGTATTAATTTGCTTATATGATTAGGAGAATATCTAAATATAATTAATATATTGAATTAAGCTCATATGGGGGTCATTTGATTTAAAGTAATAGCAATTTATAAAATAAATTCTATTTTGGTGAGCGTCCCCTTTAAGAACCCTTGACCAAAGCGGATACAGCGCTGTCAGCTTTTGCTCGTGCTCTCAGTATAAAAACATTACATTTGACTTCAGCGCATCAAACGGAGCTCTCTTGCTAAAGTATTGGCATCACATAAGACAATAGCATCTTACCACAATGCCCAAGTATGAAGAGGTCAATGTGCATGGCTATGGAGAGTTTTGTCAGGCTGTGGAAACCAGGAAGGGAAAGGATATCTTTGTATATTTCTCAGGTGATAAAGATGCAGGTGGGAAAAGCTGGTGTCCTGACTGCGTAAAAGGTAACATATTCATTCAACATCATTCCAGAAATGTGTTGTTTTGACGAGGATGGTTTGATAACAAGCTTTTTCTTTTCAGCTGAACCCATTGTGAGGGGGGAAATGAGCCATCTTCCTGAGGATTCTGTTTTCATCTACTGTCAAGTTGGAGAAAGAGCTTAGTCAGTAGATCTTATGTTTTTCATATAATGCATATAATTGTTACATTTCTATGAACTTTTCCCCCTTTTTAATGAATGTATAATTACACGATATGAATGTGTAGGAGTAAACTATTCATCTGATCTGACTTAGATTTTGTTTTCTTCAGCTGGAAGGATCCAAGCAATGACTTCAAGAAGACATTGAAGCTGACTGGGGTTCCAACCCTTCTGCGATATGGCACGGTAAGGCCTTTTTATTCATTGTTTTAGCAGTGTGAGTTTGCATTAAGTTTACTTCTCACTCAAATATTTTATGGATGCCACTCGTTATTAGCCATTTATTTTTTACCTAATACTAATCACAGGATTCTTCATTGTTCTATTTTATTATGGTGGAATTAAAGCATGATAGCACTTTCACCTTTGTGTCAAAATTTGTGTTCCAGCCCCAGAAACTAGTGGAGGAGGAATGCTTCAAAGCAGACCTTGTGCGGATGATGTTCACAGAAGACTGAAAGTGCCTTGTATATGACTAAATTCTGTATTTTACCCTTGTGAAATATTAAATTGTGTTTCCTGATTGAAGACGACCTACTCCTTGTTTTCTTTGAGTTGAGTGATGAGCCTTATTACATGGTCATTGATTACACTTGAATTGTTTTATAACTGAGATTCACATAAATAATCTGACATTATTTGTAAGGATTTAATGGCTTTCAAGTTTTTGTGTTTGTTTGTACCTATAATAACAGTTTATGGTACCTATACCATGGCATCTAGTTGTATACATTTATCTTCAATAACATGATTTGATCAGAATTGAAATTATTTTCCTTTTATCTGTCGAAACCAACATGACTCTATATCAATGATTTGAAAATACAATAATAATCATATAATCCAAATATTTAAGTGTCGAATTAATCAAAATTATTCCTCATGAGGGGACAAATACATCAAACTTACCCTTTAGACTTGTGTGCCTCATATTCTGTTGCGCCTGTGTGCTATGAACACTAGGTGGCAGGCTGTTCCCATCAAGTGTTTGTAGACCGTGTATGAATGGGTTGTGCCCTGAGATATTTTGTTCATTTTATATTAAATTTTTAAATAGAATTCATCTGATAACCCAAACTGTGAAAATGTGTAACGGTTTTATTTTATTTTATTTTTTAATCCACGCGCCATAATGATAACGTAACGCTCAGCAACAAATGAAAGATCCTTGTAGAATCAAGTGCAGCGTGAGTGTACGGTGCTTTAGCATGTAGCCTCTGAAGTGGGACCAGCAGATGTCACGTTTTTAGCACGCTGCTGCAGTCCGGAGCATTAAGGCTGAGTGCATTCCTCCAGTGCACTCACACAGCGGACACACACGGGCACAGACCCCGGCGCAGAGGTGGACGTGGCGGCTTGTACACACACAGCACCGCGGTTATATGAGGAGCAATCTCGGCTGAGGTAACGTGGACCGACCGCACGCTGCCATGTCGGAGTTCCTGGTGAATCTTCTCGGGGAGCGGCTCGTCAACAGTGAGAAAGCCGAAGTGGACGTACAGGCGCTGGGTTCGAAGCTTTCTCTGCTCGGCTTGTTCTTTGGATGCAGCCTGAACGCCCCGTGTAAGCAGTTCAATGGCAGTCTATGCGAGTTTTACACCCGGTTTAAAAAGACCTCAGAACACAAGGACAAACTGGAAATCGTCTTCGTTTCGTCTGATCAAGACCAGAAACATTGGCAGGACTTTTTGCAAGAGATGCCATGGCCCGCGTTACCTTTCAAGGATCGGCACAAAAAGGTAAGGGAGTGATGGTGATCAACATGTGAACTTGGGGAAATTAGTTAATGTTTGTTGACAAGAAATGCACGCATCAACATTCATGACATACTACACATGGGACACATAAATGTTACTATGAATTCTGTTCTGAAAACTATCAAAGTAGTGTTGCCTGAAGTCAATCAATCCAATGTAATCCCAGAGTTAACAGCTTTGTTCTTCTGCAAATCCCATAGATTAATGTTACACTGACCTTAGATAATACAAGAAGCCACACGTACCAGGCACAATTAAGTTTGAGGAAAGTATTATTAGATTATTGTAAAAATGTATTACTTATTTTGAACTTTATTGTGGCATGTGAGTGTGGAGATGAAGGCCTTCTATTGTGTTTATAAAATCTGCAGCCCCATCTGAAGTATTTATTTACTGGGGGGAAAAACCCAAATTTTAAATTCATCATATAGTATTAGGAACAATGACATTTGTGTAGGGGATACAAATGCCAACACAACATGGAATAACTTTGCACTCACTGATACACTTATGATCTTTGAGGGTTTTTTTCTTCTAAATATAGTTTTAAAATTAAGTCGTTTCTGCAAAGTGTTGTTATTTCTTAACATTAGTTTGTAATACTGTTGGAGCAGTAAAAAAAAAATATATATATACAATTTTAATATAATAAAACTATTGCATTTTTATTGTGATCCATAATGCAGCTATGATTTCCATAATGAAGGCCAAGCGAGACAGAGTAGGTACAAGTGAAAAATGACAGGAGTGGGGGTTGTATTGTTGTCTGGAGGGAGAATGACACAGCCATATCGTCTTCATCTGCCATTTTTTAACAATATGAAAATGGCAATATATGGGTGGCCTTAGTTAATAACATAAATGTGTCATTCAATAGTTGGAACACACATAGCCTTCTTGCTTATGGAATGATTGCAGTTGTTCAACACTTGGTTGCTCTGGCCCTCTATTAGGATTTCGCATTGCGGTTTTCCCCAGTTATTTCTATTTGATAGTACACCACCTGGTATAGACAATGTTCTATTTAACTAAGGCTGATACACAATATACCACCCTCTACTCCCACAGCTTGCCACTACCCAGCAGAGTTCATTATGAGGCGGCAATTACATATCATATACTCAAGGGTTAACCCACATCCGGTTGCAGGGATTGTTTGGTTTTTAATCAAGATTGGATAACGAGAGCATGCCGGTTTCAGACAAGACCAGTCTATGATTTAAACTGTAGGAGGAACAGTGCATGTTCTTATCTCTTATTTTCTATAAATGTTTTCTATAAATGTTTCTATTCTAGATTTAGTAATGTGGCTCTATAGTTACATTGTTTTTGGAAAGCACCTACTCGGTCCTGCAATGCCCATCATCTCGACATCCCTGATAGCACAGCTGTAGCCCAACAGCTGTCCGTGTGTCTCTAGGCTGTCGCTGCCTTACATGGAGTTGAGCTGGAGGAGTTCAGTATAAATCAATGCAGCCCACAACATTGAATGTAAACTTTGAGAATCATATTACATTCCTATGTTGTAGTGGTCTTCATCTGTGGTTGTTTTTGTTGGAGGCCTTGATCCCTTGGCTCAGAGCCCGGAGCTGCGACTAGTTTGTCACCAACCTGCTGAAATGTGCCGTGTAGCCTGCTGTTGTGCATTTGACTTTCAAGGCCAACTTGTCTACGCATATTTGGTTGTTAGGGTAACAAAATGTGAAATATGAGGTTGGAGTGATGTGAAGCATACAGTACATAATTGAAAAGTCTCCAGATAAATGGAGGATACGAATTTCCATTATGGACTCACTTGGTTTTGCTCAATCAGACTACTGCAATTAAATCAGAATTATTTTATTATTTGAGTAACAAGAAGTCACAAACTAGGAAATTGCTTTGGCTCTTGGTGCAAACAAGTTAAAGTAGAGAATAAGGCATGCATAAATAGAAATCTAAGAAAGCTGAATCATCTCATTTGATATATCTATTGGATACTATGTACTCGGTCGCATTGTGGGATTTTTGTTATGTGTTTTTTAAGGTTAGTGTTTTCATTAGTGTGGAAGTGTGTGGTAAAGATGGCAGCTGATAATGTGACCATTCTTACAGTTAAGTTCTCTGTGGTCTTCTTTCCTCATGTTTGACAAGTGCTAAGAATGTGAAGAGACACCTGCTCCGTTGAAGCATCTCAAGGCCACAAGGCAGGGAATCTTGTGTTCATGAAAACCAGCCGTGATTTTTAGCATGGGTTACTACTCCCTTCAGATATATCGTGTGTATATATTTATTGGAACATGGTACTACATTACAGACTGTGACAACGTTGATATTATTAATGCCTGGCACTGCTTTGACATTGGTTCCTATTTATTTAGTTATCATTAAGTAACAATGCTTGGTTATTCTCTTGAGCCTGCCCATCATTTGTCTTCTTCAGAGTAACATTGAACATATTAGGTTCATGTCAGTATTTCTCCAATGAGGACAACAGATGTTTTCTTAACTTTGCAAAGCTACTAATCACATACTCATGGGTCAAACCATTCCAGCATTGTATGTTGCATTCTGTAGCGTTATATCAGTTATGAAATATGCTGATGTTGTCTGGAAAATGGCTTTCTCTTTTAGTGGAAAAGAGCAGATGGTCGTCTATGAATAAATCCTAAGTCGTCTCTGCTGTTTTCTTCTACTAGATTCACTTAAGCGTCAAAGCTAAAAGGGTAGCTTCTTCCTCTTCACGGGCAGTTTATTTCTTCTTTCCTCCCCCTTCCTCCTCGTGGCTCTAATGGCCCTGCACCACCGCTCAGTAGCCTTCCCCTACATAATGACAGTAATGCCACCCCGGGGGTATCCCTCTGTCCAAAGACTGTCCTCTCTCCTCCTGCCTTTGTTAGCTCTCCTTAATGTTGTTCCCTTTGAGGTTCGTTTCCTCCTTATCATTACCGTTTATTGTGTTTGTAAGATGAAATGAAACGGTATAATGGACTGCATGTTTGTATTCATGCTATTTCCACACCGAACCTGTGCTACATGATAACGATGTTGATTCAATGTAAATTTATTCATAGTCTCTGCTTGAGCATTTTGATGAACTATTACTCACCTGCTTCTTCAATGACGCAGTTTACCAGGCACCACCTAACTCACTGCCCTGGTTTCAGAAAATGTCAATATAGGGCTGACCCTCCATGCACTGTGAAACAGGCCGCTCTGATCTAGTGGTACTTAGCAGGTTCTAACTGTTATGTAAGAGTTTGCCTTTATATTTTCAAAACATTTCCTTTTGAACCACTTTTTTGATTTATTTTTGACTGACATACATCTATTTGACAAAACTCTTGAATCTGTCTAAACTCATCACTATTCAGTTTGAGAATGGAGTGCCTTTATTTCTCATCTCGGCACCAACATTTTAAGTTAAATGGCTTCAAACGTGATCATTTTACATGTTGTGTGCCTCTGTAAGACTTCTGTCCAATAAGGGTCAAATGGCAGTGCAGTCTCAATTAGGGCTTCAGTTGACCCAAGAAATTATTTTTTATTTAATGTATTACTATATTACGATTAAGAAATTAAGCAAACTGGTCTCACATTTTACATTTAAATAAGATGACTTATTGACTAATATATTTTGGTCGATTAGACCCATCGACCGATTAATCGCCAAAGACGAAACAAAGCATGTTTCCAAGTGTTTATTTTATTCAGCTTTAAGGTCTGTCAATTATACTATGAGTAAAGACACACTTATAAAGTCAAATTGTGCTTTTACAAATTTTCAAAGCGTAGTAATAAAACTGATATGGGTTAAATAGTTTTGTACTTTAATGCACTGCAATTTATTGTAAAAAAAGAAAAATGATTATATGAGATATTATTGTTTGTGATGGTATTAAATATTGCATGTTCTGTTTGTTGCGACTCTGAAGCCAACACCCCGCAGTCACGTGTGTCCTCACTGTGCATCTGGTCTATTAGTTAAGGTCACCTCTGGCCAAGCTATTCTCCTGCACAAATAATGAGCCATACTGAGCCGTTGCTATTCCTACGTTTTCTGTAATATTATGGCCAGAATCAGAGCTGTGTTCATTATAACAATAGTTCTGTGTGTTTGAGATGCTACCATTGCGGCAGAAGGACATATAAAACAGCAGCTTTTGTTTTGTTATAGAATATTTTTTTTCTGCAGCCGCCAAACAATGTCCCCTTGGATCATATTCAGTCTTTGTCCAATAGAATAATAAGTATTGTGGTAGTTTATAAATCTAATACTGAATACTTTTTACCTCACTTACCATCTAAAAGGGCATTGAGAAAAGTAGCATCTTAAACTTGTCACATGAAGTGGCCTCTGTTGTCTGGGGTCTGACTTTTGAATTAGTTGAAATTCTGAAAAGCAGCTTAGGCGGTGGACAGGAGACTTTTAGCTTTCATATGCCAAGGTTTCTCTTACTTAATCTTTGTTCTTTAATACAATCTTGTGGTGCACATTCCAAGCATGTCTGTTTTTTTTTTTTCATTGCGATGTCTGAAAAGGGTCGAGTACAACGCCTTTTTTAACACATTGAGCGGCGGGGAGACTGGAGACCCCCTGCTGTGGCTTAGCTCTGTGCGGAGTTGGAAGCTAATCGCTGTTTTGATTATTTGTCCAATCATCCTTTTGCCCAATCTGTTTGGAAGCAGCACCCAATCCCATGACCATGTTGAATCAAAGGGTTTATCAGTGTAAGCCATTTAAGAAGCAAGCAGAGGTCTCATCTTTTCACTGTGGGACGAGAGAAAAGCATCCGACACTACAGTTTAAGCAATTAGTGACGCAGGGCCAGAGAGATTAACACCCTGGGAGCTGTGAGTCGTGTTATGCAAAAAAAAAAAAAGTCTTTGGTTATCAAAACGGCTGCTCTAATGGATAATACCAAGAGTCAAAGTAGACCTCAGATCAATTCTTTAACAATTAATAGTAGACTTGTAGGCATAATTAAATACAATACCCAAAT